TTTAAATGATTCATAATGAAAATTCTAATGTAAACTTGAGTTGTACTTAAATCTTCTTTGCCACTATTTTTCAAATGTTTAAAAAATAAAAACAGCATTGGCAATAATTTTGCTTTTGTAGCTTATTTAGTATATTGCCAATGTGTTGATACCACTACTGATGGACTGTTAGTCACCAAATGTATTTTTTGGTGTTGATACTATTGATGATGGACCTTCAGTGTATCTTCAATTTTAAATTTGGCAATAGACCATCTCAAATATTCAGCAATTTTACAATACACATATACATGTAAAGGACTGTATCATGTATTTCAAGTTGTCTCCGTGCGGGCCTCTTTTTGTCGAGCCTTCGACTTTTGTCGAAAAAGCGAGACATAGCGATCCTACATTCCGTCGGCGGCGTTGTCATTGTTGTTGTCGTCGGCAGCGGCGTCCACAAATATTCACTCTGTGGTTAAAGTTTTTGAAATTTTAATAACTTTCTTAAACTATCCTGGATTTCTACCGAACTTGGAAAGAAACTTTTTTATGATCATAAGATAATAATCCAAAGTAAATTTTGTAAAAAAAAAAATCCATTTTTTCAGTATTTTACTTATAAATGGACTTAGTTTTTCTGCCATTTAACATTACATTCACTCTGTGGTTAAAGTTTTTAAGATTTTAATAACTTTCTTAAACTATCCTGGATTTGTACCAAACTTGGACAGATGCTTGTTTATGATTAAAAGCTAGTATCTAGAAGGAATTTTGTTAAAATTTTGTTCCATTTTTTTCCGTATTTTACTTATAAATGGACTTAGTTTTTCTTCCAGTTAACATTACATACAGTCTAGATCTGCAGTTTAAGTTTTTAAAACATTTATTAGATTCATAAACTATCCTGGATTTTTACCAAACTTGGACAGAAGCTACTTACAATCAAAAGATAGTATATAGAGGAATATTTTTATCAATTTTTTTCCTCATTTTTGTTGAGCCTGCGATTAACAGCAAAAGTAGGCGAGACACTGGGTTCCGCGGAACCCTTACAAATTTTTATTTATCCTCAATCCTTAGTTACACTCGTTTAGATTCTAGCTATGCATTATTTCTGGTACCAAGTCTTGAATTGAAAATATTTCACTTGTTATAACTTGCACAATATACTTGAACACACAAGATAACATTGCAACAAATCTAATTATTGTTATTCTAAACTCTTGATAGATTTGTTTTAAAACTGGTCCTTATTTTTCTGAGATTAGCTGTGAATAGAATTATCCACAAAATCACTTATCAGAACTCTCACATAAATGGCCTTAGTACAAAATCTTTTGATAACCTTAAATGTTTAGGATAACTTCATTATGATGTAAATTCCTTCAAAATGGTCAAGCCGAATGATTTTTGCCGTAGCGTGTTCATAGCTGGACAATAATGTCTTCATAGCTGCCACTGGACGTTAAACGGACAACAATTAATCAACCAATCATAGAATATATGAAAGGGTTGGAACTTGGAATATATGTTTTAAAAGTGTTGCGGTTATAGTTGAGATTACAAACATGAAGTAGGGTGGGAGTTCATAGGATTCCCTTACATTTTTTCTCTGGGTATTTTTCTCTTGTAATTTTTGTGTCAGAACTTCAGTAACTGTCAATACTTATGTAGGAGTGCTACCCATACAGGTATTAACCATACAGAAAAATGTTTCTTTTTAACAAGATAACAATAGCTAGTTATTATTTGACAATAAATAATCTGTAGAAATGTAAAGAATTTTAATAACCCCTAATATTGACTTAAAGCATAAAATCTACAATACACACCACTCAGTTTATTGTTTACACAAATTTATTAAACAAGTTAAAACTTTCAATACTTTTATGTTGTTATTGAATAAAAATATCTGTGGTAAATGATTACATCATTAAATTTACAGCTATGTAAATTCCTTATTAATCTCAAAGGAGGATATACTAATGTAGAAGGCAACTATTTCAATAGTAATTGGTACACCACTGACCAGACTTCTATTCAAAGGTATAAGTAGGTTGAAGTAACATCAAGGCAAACTCAGTGATACTGCAGTAGGCATACTTTAATATCCTGCATGCAATATTTTCCACTGGACATTAAGCAAACAACATTAAATCTGATAAATGGTTTAAGTACCACACAAATCCCTGCAGTATTGCAACATAGCCAATGCATACAGTGTTGCCCCCAAGGGTCTTTTAGCATCATAGTAATGTGATGCTATATTGCTAGAATGTGAAATAAGTTTCTTATACAAAGTGTTATGGATGTGTTGCTATAATTTCTAGAAACAAGAAGATATTTCATAATTTCCTGTTCACCAGGATGATATAAGAAATTTCTGAGGAGAACACTGGCATATTCTTACTATTCATCTATCAGTGTGTGCAGATCTGAATTGAGGAAGGAACTCACAACGATTTAAATTCTAATTTTACAATTGATCATATGTATATTGTCAATTATACTAAATCTTACTTCTAATACTGACTACCTTTGGCCTTAATCAGGATAATATTGTCATTAGAAATATTTCAAATCTTTTAAAACTGTGCACTAATTGGATTACAACCGTTTTATTTTGATATGGCACTGTTCCAATTTGTTACACCCAGACAAGATTAACTAATAATTCTTTTGTTTGAGAATTAAACTTGTGTATTCTTTGGGATTTGTACAGTATATTGTAGTATATTTATCATTATCTTGTGCTCAGACATTCATAACCTCTTTGACAAGAAACTCATGAAATTCAAAGAATTTTGAAAAATTTAGTTTATTAAAAGGTTGTTTATTCAGGTATAAATGTTGAATTGAATTAAGAAATAATTTTCAACTTAATGTTATGTCCTGTTTTCAAGGTTTTAAATTAACTATGGAATGCAATATTTAGCATGAAATAGACACGCAATAGTAATTATTAATCATGCGCAAAACTTAAGTTCTGTTAGCGATTTCTTTTTCATTGAACTTTGGTTATATAACATTTTTAAATGGTTAAAACTGGAATTATTGCTACTGGTTATAATTATTTGTGGATGTGTTGTTTAATGTGTTACCATCCGAGCCTGTAAAGGAATACTCTGTTTGAATACTCTGTTTTTGGTAAGGATTTAATTGCCTATGGTGTGAATTATAAGTTGTAGATCACTGGACTGGTAATAACTAGGTCAATGATGATATTTTGTCCTAATTGTGGAGATTAAAATGTGAAATTTAATTGTTAAATATCTTTGTGAAAAGAGACACTTGTATTAAGATGAAGAGATAGAAAAGGTATACCCTTCGAGCTAATATTTCACTTTACTTTACAAATATAGTAAATACGACATTACAGCTAAGATTTGGACTGGTCATAAATGTTAAGGTCAAAATTTCACCTGTAAATGTACTTCCTAACTGTTGTGTTAGTGTGTCATAAGCGTGTCAGTGTAGTAATTTGAACTATTTTTAATTCAAATTCAATACATCTGATTTTGTTATCTTAAAATTTTAAAGTATAAAACGTGGAGATTAAATATAATGTATAGAACTGCAGATCTTTGTTTAAGTTTTATTTACCTTTAGTAAAAGGGAGAATTTCAATAGACTTCCCGTCAAGCTAGGCGATATAAATCATTTTATCACCAAGAATGGAGCAAGTTTTCCGGTTTTTTGTTGGAAGTTGTTAAGTACAGGGATTGAGACCATTTCAGGTGTAAATTTTACAATATTTTTGTTGTTGAGTAATCAAATTAAGTTTTGTATCTGAAATAAAATCATTGAATTGTAAAAGAGGGCCCCCTGTATTCTGATTCATTGATGTTATATTATATAATCTGTCACTGAGTAGAAACATCATCATAAAACATCAACTTTCTTGTTTACATAGATTCTTAAACATATTTCTAAGGTAACATTTCATTTATATCATTGAAATTTTATTGAAATCTTATAAATTTAACTTCTGTATTAAATTACAGAAATATTATTTTGACAACATGAATTCATAGAGAAAAATATATTCCTTATTTGGAGCTGAGACCAAGCACATGTACAATAATCGCTATTTGCTCATTCAATGTTTAATTGAAAATCATCTACAATTATTTAATTGTTTCTAAAAACCTGAAAATCATTTTCTGCTTTTATGATACCATATTTTTTGTGTAGATCATTTGAAATATTTATGAACAACATGTTGCTTTGTCTAAGCTCCAGCAAGCTTTGCCATTATTGTCTTTTGGGAATCAACTTACAAATGAATGTTTAAATACTGTTATGTGATATACATGTATATATAGAATTGATTATTGAAAAATCTATAACTGTCTAGAATGCAGTTGACTTAGTGTACCAGAACAAATCAAGGTGGGTATATTATACAGGTTGATTAATATTGGGGAAAAGGGAGGAGGGTTGAAAAGAATTGAAGATGAATGGGAGATGTGATATTTAAAGGGGGTTGGTTGCAAGGGAAAAGACGATAATTTAGAGTGAGATGTGACATTTAACATCTAAAAACTGAATTAACATTTGGTTAAGATGCAATTAGCCATTGGAAGTTTTGAATTAATGGTAAGATATAAAACTAAAAACTGCTGAATCTTATGTATTATATGATGATTCATGTACTATATATGTATTTATGTACAATGTATGCACAAAATATATTGTATAAATAAAAACGTTGTCAGTCGAGCTGCCTAAAAAATGTTGAATTACTTACATAATCTTGATCCCTTTTGCCTTGTGTATAAAAATAATGAGATGAGCTATGATTGCCATTGAGACAACTATCCAAAAAGACCAAGAGCATGAAGAGGCAAAGATGTGAACTCTGGCCATAAAGATATCATGTTGAATATTGCAGACATAACACAAAATTTAGAGCAAACATCCTGTAAACCTAGGTTAGGAATAGAAATGGCTTTTTAACAAGTCACAGTTGCTGTGGAGACGTAATCAATAAATATATATTAATTTAATGTTTACAGGGAGATAACCAGAAAGAAAGAGGAATTTACATAAAATCTGTGGTGACTGGTGGTGGAGCTGATATTGTAAGTATAAGATACTCGGGTCAACCATTAAACAAAAACATCAGTATTATACAGTGAAATTTAAAACAAAACATGGGATATGGATTGAGTCAGATGTCTGGTGAAACTCAAAATTATTAATTATATATTGATGCTGGAGAATACAGGAATAAATGTTTTCTTGAGAAAAAAATATTTGGGGATAGTGATACAATGAAAAACCTCAGTAGACAACATATCGTGTTACTCTAAGCCAATGGAATAGCAAGAATTTTGTTTGAAGCAGGATGATTAATAATATGGAGATGTGTTATGATTGTCAATGAGACAAGTATCCAAATGAAGTGGATTGAAGCAACTATAGGTCATTGTATGACCTTCAACAATAAACAAGACCCTTACCGTATAGTCCGCTATACTACATGGATTCGTTATTTTTTTTTTTACCAAATTTCATGGATTACTTAGGTACATGGGAAACACAAATTCAAATCTCAACTGATTATACATGTTCAAGAGGAATATATGCAGACTTTGGCAAACCATGAAATCAAATATCCACAAAAATTGGTACCCATGAAAATAAATGAATTGGCAAGAAGCACAAAAACAACTAGCTTAAAGACAAAAGAGACAAATTATGGATCTATCAGTACTCACAGTTACTGAAAGCTAGTTCAAAGCCAATTACAACTAATAAATAAATTATGTTCTCCTTGTCTGAACTAAGTTAATTTGACCTTAGACCATTCAAGGAACTCCTTTAAACATTTGGAATCTAACAGGAGACTGGCAAGTTGAAGGCAACAATCTATCAAACTGGCTATGTTATTTTAAACTGGTATACATTAATGATTTTGTAATTTTACTTTAAAAATAAAGTGGAACTCCCAGATAAACTTGGTTCCTAAAACAGACGTCAGGTAATAGTCTATGAGAAAACAACAAATAACTCAAAATAACTTATAAATTATATCCAAGACCAGACTTGTTACCCCTAAGTTTGAACAAGTCATTATTGATATCAACAGAGCTGATGAAGATCATCTATATAAACACAAAATTTCAAATATGCAAAAATACACTCAGAAGATTTGTCACATGACTTGGGCACTTTAGAATGGCTGTGATAAACTGGTTCTGTCCATACTCACCTCATTTCACCCCCCAAAACCCTCAATTAAATGCATAGTGAAAGACAGTCATTAACAGCTTTGAATATTGACTCTGTATACACCAGATGTTTAAATATATTAATCAAAAACATTAAAATATGTTGGCTCACCATCAGTTGTTTGTGATGTAATAGATCATCTACTACTGAAGTGTTCATCAAAGTGTTTTTCATAACTTTTGTGGCATAATTTTTATGCCACCACTGTAGGCAATGGGGGCATTAAGTGTTACCCTTGCCCGTCCGTCCCATTTTTATACGACCGCAAAAAATTTTTTGTGGTCGTATATTGGTATGACGTTGGCGTCGTCGTCGTCGTCGTCGTCGTCGTCGTCCGGCGTCGTCGTCCGAATACACATTAGTTTTCGCACTCTAACTTTAGTTTAAGTGAATGGATCTCATTGAAATTTTACCATAAGGTTCAATACCACAAAAGGAAGGTGGGGATTGATTTTGGGGGTTATGGTACTAACAGTTAAGGAATTAGGGGCCAAAAGGGGCCAAAAATAAGCATTTTTGTAACTTCCAGACATAACTTGTGTGTAAGTGTATGGATCTCTCTGACATTGTACCACAAGGTTCCATATCACAAAGGGAATGCTGGGATTGATTTTGGGGGTAATTGTCTCCAAATTTTAGGAATTAGGGGCCAAAAAGGGGCAAAAAACAAGCATTTTTCTAGTTTCATGACAATAACTTGTTTGTAAGTGTATGGATCTTTATGAAATTGTACTACAAGGTTCCATATCACAAAGGGAATACTGGGATTGATTTTTGGGGTAATTTCCTCCAAATATTAGGAATTAGGGGCCAAAAAGGGGCAAAAAACAAGCATTTTTCTAGTTTCATGACAAAAACTTGTTTGTAAGTGTATGGATCTTTATGAAATTGTACTACAAGGTTCCATATCACAAAGGGAAGGCTGGGATTGATTTTGGGGGTTTTCCCTCAAAATTTTAGTAATTAGGGGCCATAAAAGGGCAAAAAAAAACATGCATTTTTCTAGTTTCAGGACAATAACTTGTGTGTAAGTGTATGGATCTTTATGAAATTGTACTGCAAGGTTCCATATCACAAAGGGAAAGCTGGAATTGAGTTTGGGGGTAATTGCCCTAAACGTTTAGGAATTTGGGGCCAAAAAGGGGCCAAAAAACAAGCATTTTTCTAGTTTCCAGACAATAACTTGTGTTCAAGTGTATGAATCTCTCTGAAATTGTACTGCAAGGTACCATACCACAAAGGGAAAGCTGGGATTGAGTTTGGGGGCGATGAATCATAAGGGGGTTCAAAAAATTGGGGGAGGATTTTTTTTTTCCTTTTTTTTCTTTAACATTTTCCATTTTAAATTGGTTATTTCTGATTTATATATAAAAGCAAATAATAATGATATGGTTTGAATAGGCATACATGTGAACCTCCCGACGGGAGTACAATAATCCCGTTTTCAGGGGTCTCCTCCCCCCCCCTCCCGTTGAAAAAATCCCGTGTATGAAATTTTTCATGAATGAAAAATTTCTGCCCAACATAACATCTCAGGCATCTGGTGTAACTGACATTACCTGAAGTTATATTTTACCTGTAAATCAATTAACATGCATAATTATATGGCTTCACTTGTCAGCTTGGGTGTCAAACATACTGGTAAGCAACGATTTTTACCTCAGGCTAACTGCCGTTGTGTAACAAAAACTGTGTATTTATTGGGTTACTTCCCTTGATTTATCTTGTTTTAAGTTACTTTCCTTTTAATAATGAAAATTTTTAAAAGAATATAAATAAAATATAAATTGAACAAATAATCATAAAAGGATGGTTATTAAATGATTTTAAATGTCTTAGGACAAATAAAAAAATAATAATTTGAAAATTATTTGAGGATTCTATACTTCCTTTTAAGGCTTAAATTGAAATTTATATAATAACTATGACCCTAACTTTACAGATAGAATGAATTTCTGAGTTTGCAAATAAAAACTATTTGCAAGAGAAAAAAAAAAAATAAAAACTATTTGCAGACAGCTAAACAAATGTTCTGGTTGCAATGATTGTTTTATAGAATATGAAGTAAAAAATTTAAAGAACATACTGGAAAAAAACAATGTTAGATTGAACATGTAGAATATAAAGATGGAGAAACTTTATAAGTACAAGGGTACTATAAACATAATAAATTGGTTGGAAAGTTGAAGAAAACACACTTTAAAAGACCATTTTTACAGCACACGGTTACATTTACAACAAAATTAATGTCGATTAAAAACCTCCTGATCTGAGTTTCACAGTCCATCACATGTATGAATAGGTAAATTGAAAATTTTTAAGTTCTTAGACCACTTTCATTCTGTGTCAGAAACCTATGCTGTGTCAAATATTTAATTACAATCCAAATTCAGTGCTGTATCAAGCTTGAATGTTGTGTCCATACTTGCCCCAACTGTTCAGGGTTCGACCTCTGCGGTCGTATCAAGCTGCGCCCCAGCGGAGCATTTTATTATTTCTGCACTCTAACTTTAAGTTTTCCTCATCCAAATTTTATGAGACTCATGCACAATGCTAAGAACCAAAACTCGCAGACAAAGTTCAAATTTGGGCAGTGAGTCAAAGTCTAGAGTTGCAAAGCTTGTGCTGGGGCCATTCGTGTCCTAGGTCACATTCTTCTTTTATTTAGATATGTTTTGCTTCTTGGCATCAAGGTTTTAAGAGTAGATAGAAGTTATACACTATTTGATGACCATTTTTCTAACCAGAGCTTACAAACATTATTTGATTATAGGATGGACGTTTACAGTCAGGTGACCAGTTATTAGAGGTTGATGGGAAGAGTTTGGTTGGATTAACACAAGAAAGGTATAGTACAAATCATATATCAGCCATATAATTATTTGTTTATAACTTTCCCAACTTTAAAGTTTGTTTTGAGAACCATTGGATGAAGTAGTTAGATCTATATCATACTTGATGTTAGTGAATGATTGCATATCTCCTATCAAATAAACCACATCTGGTCGTATTAAAGGACATTAAATTTTTGACATATTTTGAGAAAATGCCATGATTTTTGCCAATTGACGAATTAAAATAACCAGGAGGGTTTGGTAGGTGAACTGTTGTAGGACCAAACTTCTAATCCTATCTGGTATGTTCTTGTTTTCCAATGTCATATTAAATTTTCTCCCACAAGCCATTGGTCACCTAAATTTCATTACAACCCCACAATTGATAGATTGGTAGCATGTTTTGGTCCCTATAATATGCATGATATATTTATTACTGTGCATTAAGCAGCCAACAGTCAATTGAAAGTAAGCAATTGAAACAAGCTAGATATAGCAAGCTAGTAACAATGAATTTAGACAGCACTCGAATATGAAAATAAGGAGATGTGGTATGATTGCCAGATTTCCCTCAACCCATAAAGATTAGTACCCACAAAATAAATAAATCCACAGTACATGTTACATCAATATTACAGACAATGATAGACATGTGTACAAGTAAAACAATAACTTTAGTATGATCAGTTACTGCTACTTCATATGCTGGTGTAGAGAATCATGCCTTTATGCAGCCTGATACTGGCTCCTGTACTGTGATTTTATTATAGCAGTGTTATGAACTGTGTAAAAAAATCATGCTTGCATTTCAACCATTCATAAATTTTATCGTCATATTTTTTGTTTCAATTTTTGGTCTTGAAGAAAATTATTACATGTATTTGATAATATATATTCATTTAGTGGATACAGTAGAAATAATTTTAATGTTTAATATTACAAATTACAGAGCAGCAGAATTAATGACCCATACAGGACAGACCGTCAAATTAAAGGTGGCTAAACAAGGAGCATTTTATCATGGACTAGCCACACAATTAAGTCAACCATCACCTGTGATGCAGCGAGGTAGGTTATTATAAAAAGGAAAAGTGTTTTTTACTACTTTGGTTTGCCAAATAACTAATTCCCAATTATATTTGATGGAAAAAATCTCATTAGATAAAACTATGTAACTATGTGTAATAAATGCTCTCTGATTAAAAATGTGTTTGTCATGGTATTGTAAAAAATGGATTTTTGTTTTAAATAACAATCAAATCTCACATTTAATGATAGACATTATTGTTAGGGGAAGCAATAACTGCAATACAGATAGGTTTTAAATAAGTGCCACAGAATCATCCAGATGAACTTTTTTGATCAAGGGTAGAACCATCTTTCAATGTATTACATAGTTGGATGTATCAAGAATGAGACATCTGTTAGGGGAAACCTGATTATTAGGGCCCTGCTGAATGGCGGACGCCCTATAGTGATCAGTCTGTCCGTCCTTCCGTCTGCCCGTCCGTCCCTAACAAATTGTGTCCGCTCTATATCTAGAGAACCGTTATGATTTCAAAGTTTATACTTGACATGTATATTAACCAATACCAGAGGGTGTGTCATAAGGTATGTACAACTTCCTAGGTCAAAGGTCAAGGTCAAAAACTGGTTTTGACAACCCCATGTTCTATGGTAAAGATCGTGTCCGCTCTATATCTTGAGAACCGTTATGATTTCAAATTTTATACTTGACATGTATATAAACCAACACCAGAGGGTGTGTCATAATTCATGTACAACTTCCTAGGTCAAGGTCAAAAACTTTGGTTTCAGTTGACAACCCCTTGTCCAATGATAAAGATACAAATTTTTTACCACACATTATTCACAGCGGGGCCCACAGAGATGGCTCCCATCTCAATGATATCTAGTTATACTTGACAGTTTGATTTCTACATTTCTAGTAATGATCCCTGTAAATTTTTGGGGCATATTGTAATTGCTTTGTCCGTGCTTCATTCCTCTCTTTTCATATGTGTGCCCGAAACAATGGTTTACAAGCAATAACTTTAGTTTCCCTTGCTTGGTGGAATAAAACTTTTACAGATGGAAGATATAGGGAAGGGGAAGGAGCCTATTAATTTTGGGGTCAACAGGGCAAATGTCACGTTCACTTACTTAAAGTTAAAAAATAATTTTTTTAAATTGGTTTGGGGATGGGTTCCCACTATGAATTGTAACACACTTAATAGGGTGAAAAATAAGCAATCATTGTGCATGTTTATTTATTCCTCCAAGCATACTAGTATTTTGAACCCTTTGAAATAATGTTTTCTTTCAATAAATATGCAGTTCATGGAGCATAAGTTGACATTATCAGCTTTTTACTTGTTTGATTTAATAGCTATTTACACTATGAGTGTTTATTTACTCAAAATAAAAGTTCCTGAAGTTTTAACAACACATAAAAAGTATAACAGGAATTACTAAAAATATTGGACAGTACAACAGACCATACAGAAATAGAAAATAACAATACAAAAAAATAGGCTAAACAACTTAGAACAACGTGGTCCAGAAGGCCTGATTTGGTACAGGCACAATAGGTTTTGGGGTAAAATCAGTTTACCTGTACACAACCTCCCCCCTTGCCAATCTAGTACTGTAGACCATGTGTCATAAAAGTAAGACACACAATTAAATACCTGCACAGAGTAGATACCAACAGGATGACCACTAACTTGGAACATAATAAAAGATGGCACATAATTTTGACAGTAGGGTTACAATTATGTTTGCTAGTACATGAGATGTTAGTAATATTTGCCTTTTTTTAGCCCCCTACCGACGAAGTCGAAGGGGACTTTAGGTTTGCACTCTGTCCGTCTGTCCGTCCGTCAGTCTGGCAAATCAGTATTCCACACTTTTTTTCTTCGTTCTTGAAGATATTGATTTGATATTTGGTATATAGTTTTGCCATGACAAGTTATAAATCAAGTTCGAATTTTGTTCCGGTCTGATGATTTAGTCCAGTGTTATGGACCATAACTCTGGACCATATCTAATGTTAGAGTACTATGTTAAACCATATTTCTGTACAAAGGGAGATAACTCATTTTTTAAAAGACATTCTTTGGTAAATTATTTGAAGAATTTTTGGCAGGTTTGTTTGTTATTTTGTATAAACTAATTTTCTGAATGCTATATATATATATAAAAATAATTATGAAGTGAAATCCTTTAATTAGATAATAATCTATTTTTATTAATGTATATATTACATTACATTGTGTAGATAAAAATTGTTGACATTTTATAGATAACTTACAAATCTATATTAGTTTGTGACAAATAAAAGAAAAAATATTTGGAACTATTAATTATATTTGATTATAATTTGAAAATAGATATACACTGTATTACATCATATCTAATTTTAGAGAACTATTAATCATATCTAATGTTAAAGTGTTTTCCACACTTTTTTTCATCATGCTTGAAGATATTGATTGATAATTGGTATATAGTTTTATCATGACAAGTTATACAGATCAAGTTCGAAATTTTGTTTTGGTCTGATAATTTTGTGCAGAGTTATGGTCCTTGGACTTTTGAAGAAAAGGAAATTCTACTTCATTATAAAATTTTGACAAATGAAAACTGAGAATACTAAAATAAAAATAAAAAAAAAACAATATGAAAATAAGAAGATGTGGTATGATTGCCAATGAGACACTAGAGACTATAGATCACACTGTACAGCCTTCAACAATGAGCAAAACCCATACCATATAGTAAGTTATAAAAGGCCCTGACATGACAAAATGTAAAACAATTAAACCAGGAAAACAATAGCCTGATTTATTTATAAAATAAATGAAAAATCAAATATGATAAACAGCAACAAATGACAATCACAGAATTACAGGCTCCTGACTTGGGAAAGGTACATACAGAATGTGTTGGAATTTAACATAATTGAAAGTGCTCAACCCATCCCCTAGCTGGGACAGTGGTTTAACAGCGCTAGCACAACTAAAGAACAAACTGTAAAAAATCAGTTGACATAGTCTTGACTTGTAGATCAACACAAAGCACAAAAAGCCATCAACAAAAAGACTGAAGACACAAAATACTGATCTTGGAGTACTTGCAACTATTGAAAGCTAGTTCAAAGCCAATTACAATTAAACAATAACTCAAGTTTCCCATATTCAAATATCAATCTGTACACATCCAATGAATTTAGTGGAAAGACATCATAATCAGTCATAGAAAAACTTGACTGTGTGAATGCCAAAATATAAACATGGACATGATAACTGCTAGATATTCAAGTAATAGTTTGGACTGGTTATTGCTTAATACTTTTCACACAATTTTTTAGATTACAAAATATTCTGTTTTTAATTCATTTCAGCAGCAACAAAGAAACCATCTTCACCTCAGGCTACAAAGCACCGACCAGCCGATGAAGGCCCTCCTCCATATACACAGGACGGAATGGACAGGCGTCATATGCCACCTGGTGGCCATCGAGAACAGCCACCTTTTGACAAACGTCTCCAGAATGCTGCACATAGCAGATCATCGCCAGCATTAAATAGTAGGTTTTCCTTCATACACCTTATGCTGTGTTTGTAATTGATAGTGGGTGCATTGGAAGGGAATGGGGGGACAATGGCAAAGCTTGGCCCTTGAGATTAAATCTGTCAACTCTCTGAATGTTTAACTTCTAAAAGTAAACCAATATCTTCAAAATAAGGAGTATTTGGTATGTCAGATATATAGACAAACGAGATAATTTTATAGTTTATCAAAACCTCATAATCATAAGTTTAAATTAAAATAATAGAATACACAACCTAAAGTTAAGCATTCTCAAGTTGACAGAATTAGTTTCTACAATGTATTGATGTATTTTATTATAAGATAAATGTATGTTTAATGGTAGAAGTTGATTTTGATAGAATACCGCCATGGTGTGACCCACAAGGATATGGAATCAATCTATGGAAGGAACCAGGGTTTATGGAGGATTGTGTTAGAAGCAGAACTCCAAGATTTAAAATCTCGATCTCCGACTGCAAGACAAAGAGACCTTAAAGAGAGAAGACAGCGTAGTAAAAGTATCACATCGGTAGAGGAAGCCAGAAGAAATTTCCACTATGACAATAAAAAGGCTTCAAATAATGGCTTAAATGAAAATATTCATGACGAAATTCGTAGAAAAGCTAAATGTTTGATAAAAAGAGACGATGTTGATCTACGTCTTCTACAAAAAGAGGTCCAAAATCTGAAAACAACAGACTTTAAAAATCCTCCTGTCAATAATAACTTAATTAGAAGACACAAACGTAGTCAGTCGTTCAGGGAATTATCTAGTTCTAAACGTGAACACAATTTACCCAATGATGACTTTCAATTCAATCAAAATTACGATCCAAACTATATGAAAAATTTATTTATTACAAGCCGAGTGAAGAATGTGAACCACAATCCCCAATATAGGTCTGATATAAGGAATGTGGTCAATCAGCAGGTAGAACACATTCAGGATAGGTCAAAACATACTAATGGCCATCCAGGGTATGATACAAATACATTAGATTCTACTCTGTCTTCTTACCAATCATTTAAAGACAAATGTTTCCGAACAAATATTCTCAGTAATTCTGATAGCGGATTCAGTGAGCCTTCGGTCTCATCACTTAGTCAGCACACTAGTCAGAGAAGTTTGGCCAAACCTATGTCTTCTCACGGAAGACGCCAGGTACAAAAACCAGACTATAGAAGAACAAAGTCATTAACTTCATTAGAAAGCTCCCACAATTCCATGTTTGGATTTATGAATAGTACAATGGCAGAAGAAGACAGGATGTCTAACAGCAGTTCAAATAATTCTGAATTTGTGTATAATGTAAAACAGAACGTGATTACACGAAATCCTAGGAGTAAATGTATAACTAATAGTACAAGAATGTGTAAGTTTGGGTGCCATGTGACGTAAGGGTTTCTAGGTGGGCTGTAATATACATATGTTTCTCACATAAATTTTACACATATTTATACAGTAAGTTTTAAAAAAAACCTTTTATGTAAGATATTTTATTCCTTTCAAGTGTAAAGTATTCTGTAAAACAACCAACTTTTACAAGTAACTCAATTAGAAAAATAATCAGGAATTTGCAACTTTAAATATTTTCTTATATAAATACATGCCTAGAAATTAAGTAGAAAGGTCTAAACATGTAAAAGGTTTACATGAAAATAATTTGGCTTACAATATACAAACTGATTTCTTATCATAGTAAAGTTAAATAGTGCAATTGTTGAAAAACATGATGACAGAATATTTCTAAAATTTTTATGAGAATTTGATGGAATTAAAGTTTCTTATACGACTTAAATAACAATTATGGAATAACAGTATTGTATTGGAAGACATCAGTTGGTGATTTGATGGTAAAAAATTTAATTTACTGGTGGTGTGTCAGTGTAGCCAGTAAACATATAATTCTGACAAAAAAAAAATTGAAACCTGCTAATCTTCAAATACAATGTTTATTCAAAATGCATAATACCCTAAATTGTGTTGCATTACCCAATCAAAAGTAGCAATATAAACGGTGAACATTGCATTAGAATTACTAGTAAACAGTGTTCAAAATTTCAGCCAACCAACAGGTCTAAATGATTATTTTACAGAAATATGATCATGTTCAATTATAATTTACTCAAGTTAAAAATAGAAAAGCTGCAAGCATTTTGCCTACAAAATAGAGTACTGCCTAGTGTACTGAAAAATAGTTATGTTTATACTTTGATATACAATATAAAGGAGTAGTTTAATGTTGAGAATTAAGAAGATATAATTATATCTATTTCTGGTACCATGAACATGTGCACCTTTCATTTATTTCTTTTATTGACTATTTTCAGATGACGGTGTTGGTCCAGGTCCAGAGAGAAGAGGTCCACCAACTTCAATGCCTCCATCACAACCAGATAGATTTCAGCATAGAGACCCACGAGAAATAGACCCGAAGTCAAAGTCTATGGCAAACCTACGTATGGAACAACCTTATGATCCAAGAGACCCTCATCAAATGATGAGGCCTGCTGCCTCTGTTGGTGCTCTTCAGAATGCTGGTCAACCGATCAATGATTATTACAACCAAGGTGATCGTAGGAATGACCCAAGAGGACATGATTATGAAAATCACCAAAACTTAGATACAAGACTACAGAAAGGTCCCATAGATCCAACTAGAAACGAAAGAAACTTTCCTCAAAATACAATCGAAAGACAACCTCCATCTTCACGGACTTCAAATTCAAGTTACAGAGAAGAACGTCCACAATCTGCATACTTTGGACAACAACCTGAACGCCATGATTCTAGAACAGACAGACCTCATTCTATGGAGATGAATGCTAATAAGGTCCATGAGTGGCAGCAAAAATATGGCATGGACCCCGGACAAAATTCTCCACATAATCACAGTTTCGAACATCGAGATCCGAATTATATGAACACTCGTCCACCTGTCACTGCACAACAGGCTGGATATGTAAACCAAGGTGACATTCCTAGATTAAATGCAAACAATGAGTCATATCAGCCAAACTTTTATGAAAATACTGTTCCACGACAAAACGGTAATTCTCCAGCATTTCAACAGTTACGTGGTCCAGGTATTGAGTTTGATAAGTCAAAGTCACTCCCTAATGTAAATAAACCTCACGTGGCACCCAAACCAATTTCACAAAAAATGCCGCACGTTGACATTCCAAAAGTGGAAGTTGATAATCGTCAAACTCAACCTCACTTCTTTGATCCAAGACTACAGGCTGCTGATCAAAGATCACCACGTACCTCACAGCCTAATTTCAGTCCAAGTATGACAGGCATTCCAACTAGTACAAGCTATGCAGACGCCCATTCACCAATGAGCCGCCCTATCAAGAAGATTTCTCCTGGTAGAGAAATGTATAATACACACAGAAGTCCAGAACTTCCTCCACCTCCTCAAGATATACCGCCCGAATTACCACCACCTCCTGCAATGGATGACTTGACAGAGGAGTTGCCTCCATTACCGCCACCACCTGTGCAGGAATACCCTGGTCACGGTGATCCACAATATGTCAACCAAGGTGATGCTCGTGTTAATTTAAATGGGCCTCAACCATATCATCATCCATCATTCAACCCTCATCAACCAACACACATGTTTCAGCCGCCAGGTCGACAGGATAATCCTCAGCGGAATGTGGGTATCACGCAACCACAACGTCAGCAACCAACAAAAGGCCTGGTGTCACAACCACCACAGAGATTTCAAACGAACCATGATTATCAGAACATAACATACGACAATAAAAATCAAAATCGTTCATTCGACTCACCCCATCACCAATCACCTAATCACATCACATATGAACAACATGACCACAGAGCACAGACTCTGCCTGGAAATATGTCTGGTCTTCAACAGAACATGATACAACAAAACCAAATGTTAATTCAACAGGGTAAAGTTCGTATAGTTCAAGAAATGCAAGATAGGACAAAAGATGGAAAAGTTGGTCCTAGCTCTCCTTGGGATAGAGAAGAACAGGAAAAACAAGAAAAAATGAAGGAGGAGGAAGTCATTCGATCTAGGAATGAGGAAATTGCATTCTTAGAAGCCAAGTCATACCTTTCACCGCAGGAACAGGATAGATTGAGGAAGTTGAGATTTGAACAGGAATTTCAGCGACGAGTTGAAGAGGTAGCTAGTCGTGAAGATGATGATGATGACTCAGATACAGAAATGACAAGAACTTCTCATGTAAATATTTACAATGTATTTATAGACTTGTCATGTATTGTAATTTACTATCAGTTTTATAGTGGAATGAAATTATTATTCCTGAAACAATATTCAGCTCAATTTTGCTGACGTTTAATTGTAACAAAAATAGTCTACAGTATAAAGAAATATGTGAAAATTCTGTCATGTCTGTAATAATTGTTTGAGAATTGATTATAAGACGTTACATAAGGTATAGTCTAACCAACTATTTATTGTCATACTTTTATTGGTGCTACATTTAGATTTTAAAAGAGACATTTACAAGACAGTTATATGGTGGCTAATTTTTAATGTCATTTTTTACTATTGAATGAATATTAGCAATAATCCTAATTTATTTAAAATACAATGCTGATCACCCAAATAATATTTTTAATAAAAATTTCAAAAGCAACTTTTTATCAAAGTAGTATGGTTGAGGAATATTTTCAGTTCATATTAATGTTAATTAGATTTTCTTTATTTTATGATTAACATTCTTTCGATGATAATTAAACTTTTTATTAAATTTCAGGGTCGTGAGTTTTTAATAACATCCATTAGAGATGATATTCATAAAGCGCAGAAACGAATGAAAGATTTAGAAACTAGACAACATTTTGAGGAATATGAGAAAGAAAAAGATAGGATGCAAAGGTATGGTCTATTGTAACTTCATTGAATAATTTTCACTTTTCATAATTTATTAATTTATATAAATGTTCACATTTAGTTGTTATAATGTACAATAAAAAAGAATTCACAAGGAATAATTTTAAAAAAACTGAAAAATTGATTTAATTCAGTTTCCTGAAATTGAAAAGATATTGAGACTGGCAGATGTTTTGGCCAATCACCGATATCTCTCATACTGCAAGCAAAACTATAAATTTGTATTGTATTTTATCTTTAAAAGTAAATTTTGAAAACATAATAGATATTTTTATCTTTCATGTGGTTTTATGGTATAGATCAAGGGTAGAGTTATGGTATTGAATATAGGATGATTAATTGTCACTGCTATATCTATTGTTGAAGTACAAACATTACTGTTAGTACATTGTAGCAACATTCATCATTGGGAAACATTTAACAACATCTAACCACAATAAACAAATTAGATGTTGATTAATGAGACTTGCAACAAAAATGCAGTTAGACATTAGTTAAAATTATATAATGTGTAAACATGGCAGTATAAAATATAACTCAAAAGAATATGTAAAATATGATGGAACTCATGAACAACAAAAAACCTCTCGGAACAGGATGTTACAATCAGGTGACAGGCATTGAACAAATGATAGAAATAGTTTAATAGTTTAAAAATTCTTTAATAGATTTAAGACATCTTGTAAACCGAAAAACAAAAATAACTGTAGATATGCTTCTTGCCAGTTGATATAATTTGATTTTTTTTCTAAATCAATTATATCATGTTTATTGATGCTTGCTGTCTAAAAATTCAAAAAATCAAAGTATGCAAGGGACATTAAACTATCTTTAAATATTGAAATTGAAAATGATCCACCTTATTTCCTCAATTTCATATGTGATAACTGTGGGCTTAAATTATCAAGATAGAACAAAGACATAAATAGGAAAAATAGAATAAAATCAACATTGAACGAGTGACTACATGCAAATTGTAATGTCATTTGAATAAATCCAGTCCTCTTATATGCAATATTAATGTTGCCATCGTAGAGCAGAATATAACGAGTAAATTATTCAGGTTACTTCGTAAGTATATCGGACAACAACCGGTCTGTTCGTATATTTCCGGGAACAGGAAAATGACCAGATAGTGTCAGTCATTTCATCGATCACATGCCGAGAGTTTTTTGCTACAGCCATATGAAAGTACCCAATTTTGATGATTTTCCCATTTTTCATCAATTTTTACCCATTTTTGGGCTATTATCATGAAAAAAATCACAGTTTCACAAACTTTTTTTCATACTTTCACTGAAGATGAAGTGGACCAATCTGAATAAATTTAACTTAAAAAACTATGGGTAGGTGTTAATATAAGAAAGCTTTATAAAATTTTGTTGTTTTTTCGTGTCAAATTTACCATGTTGTCAATTTTGTAAATTTGGGATTTTTCTTCTTTTTTAGAACAAAAAGCATATTATTTCAACTTCTTTGTTATAAATGATTGAAAAAATACATATCTAAGAAATTTGAAAAGAAAAAATTGTTATTGGATGCACATGTATCTGTTAAAATCATTTCTTGTACCCCTCACCCATTTTCTCAACATTTTGGCTAATGAGACTGACTTGATTGGTTATAAAATTTGAAAATTTTATTTTTCAAGAACTACTTATTGTAAATACACAATTTTTCACAGAGTTAAGTTTGATTATAATATTTTTTAAATTCTGTGATATTTTCCTCTTGTATCACATGTTTTGGAAATAATTCCAGAACGAAATTTAAACGAGACTGAAACGTCAGAAGAATACATCCTTAATTCAATTAACGAGTAATCGGAAGATTGGAAGTAACGCAGATGAAACCTTGAACTGGCTTTGTTGTGATTCCTGTTAATATAATACTCCCATGATCTGATATACATAGAAGTAATAAATAAATATTTTATCTTTTCTTTTGTTCTAAAAAAAGCAATTAGTATAGATTAAACAGGAAAAGTGTCGTGATCTCAAATGTTCCAGATGCAGTTATGAACACTTTCAGAAGATGTTCTTTAGTTGGAATGAAATCTTAATTGTGTCTATTTTTCTGTCATCAACTTGATACCTTATCATTGTCTGTTTCTGGGTTAATTGCCAAAACCTGAATTTTTTGCTGATAAATGATAACACTTCTCTGTAAGTAAAAATTAGCTGCAATTTGAAATGGTTATCTCAATTATTATAAACCAACCTTCACTTTGCAGACTTGAAAGAAAATTAGAAATATTTGAGAGGGAAAGACAAGAACGACAGGAGAGACTTCAGAAACAACAAGAGCGAAAACAGAGGGAACATGATGAATATTTGCGCAAACAAAAGGTTTGTTCTAAAAACCAGACTATAAATTATTTATTTATTTTTCTCTGAATATAATTGTGTTCAATTTCATTAGTTGTTAAAAAAGGTTTACCAGCTCAATGAAAATTTCACCAAAAACTGGGTGTGGCAGAAATATATTTTAAGTAAATTTTTTCTCAAGTTTATTGCTGTCAAGTCAACATCTGGTATTAGAAAACACCTATGTTAAAACAAAAGTAAAGTTTCTTCTCTGTATGTTATTGCAATAATAAAGAATAGCTCAAATGTATTAAATCTTCTCATGTTCCACATTTCAAACGATGCAATGTCAGTTAACAGAATTATCAATTAAGAACTAATGTCACTTCACAAAATCCATATGAAAAGTATGAAGAAATCGTTTTCATGTCACTCATTGCCCTTAAGTCCTCAATGATGACCTTGATTGCCTTTAGTTACAAAGATATTAAAAAACCGGATTAAAAATAAAAATGTTTAGCCCATAAAAGCTGCCCCAACAAAATGAACAAACTAAAATATTTTGCACTTATACAAGTGAATTTACAGCACTCGAATGAAATCCACCTAATAATTACAACTAATTATGTTTTTACAGAAAGAGCAGGTAGATAATTTAGTGAGTAGTACTAATAAATGCACTTGTGTGGAAACCTATCAATTATAATGGTCAACAGTGCTGGGATGGTTAACAAGAGTTGTCTCTCCTTAGGTTTTGATCATCTATCGACATATTTAGGGCTAAAACTTTTTACTTGTTAACAATGGTATTTTAATTTAATGTGAAAAAAAAACATACGAGAATGGTGAAAATTTAATCATAAATATATTATGATTCCTGATAAAACTTGAATTCTAAGATAAGGATAGTCAACTCTTACATGTGGAGATTATCAGCTTGAAAACCCATATAGAGTTTGTCACACCAGATTTTTCCAGAGCTATGGGGTTAGGCTTGAGAGGGTTTTTTTTCACACACTTCCACAATGGTGAAACATTGACCTTGTTTTAATATAGCATTAAGAATAATTTGGTATTATAAAATATAGACTACTTCCCTCATTTTTGAGGTGTTGAAAATGCACAAAATGGTAACACATGCATGCACAAATGATAAATTGACCTTAAAATTGAAAAACAAAAACAAATATCAGGTTTTGAATGGATGTAAAAAGTATGTTACAATAAATGGACTTATTACCAGCAATCGTCTAGTTTGAGAAATAATTAATAACATCTATTATATATTTGATTTAATTGAATCAACATCTTATCAACCACAGGGTATAAATGTTTACAGCTATGTTCAAAGGAAATTTATCTTGCATTATAGGAGTTACGAGAGAAACAAAGACAGGAATATGAAGCCAATAAACGTGTTCATATACAGGAAGCTGAGAAACTACAGCAGAGAAAGGAAGAGGAGCTACAACGAAGAAAAGAAATGGTTAGTAGGCAAGATTTTTTTATGGCAAAGAGAAAGAGAGTTATTTGATGTCATAGAATTTAAGCTTGAATGTGTAGTATGCGTTAGTAGTGCAGATGTTCTGAATCTCTTACAACAACAGAACTAAGCCTTTTCTCTCGGTCACTATAGAAAATTGAGTTTGTTTCTATACAAATTCCACCTAGTTATTGTAAATGTTTTATAGGGTTAAATCAATCCTAGAAAACCTTGTAATCTCCATTGACATTAATATCTTGTAATAACTATATTTAGGTAAAGTTTTGTATGCAGTGAATCATAACAGAACCAGTTGTGTTATATTCATCTAGATCTAAATCTAAACGTGTTTTGTAAGAGAAAACAATGTGTTTACCAACATGAGTGTTCGGTAAATCAAAGGGATATGTACACTTGCAATTTTGTAATTCAATATCATTTGATCATATGATAAAATTCCTAAAAGATTTATGAATATAGAAAAATTTCAAGTTCAATATCTTTTATAAAAAAAGTATAACTGAACCTTGTTTAAACAAGAAATCTGTCAGGCTATAAGGTTTTTATACGACCGCCAAAAAATTTTTGTGGTCGTATATTGGTGTGACGTTGGCGTCGTCGTCGTGGTCCGAAGACACATTAGTTTTCGCACTCCAACTTTAGTTTAAGTGAACGGATCTCAATAAAATTTTACCATAAGGTTCAATACCAAAAAAGGAAGGTGGAGATTGATTTTGGGGGTTATGGTACCCACAGTTAAGGAATTAGGGACCAAAAAGGGGCCAAAAATAAGCATTTTTGTAACTTCCAGACATAACTTGTGTGTAAGTGTATGGATCTCTCTGACATTGTACCACAAGGTTCCATATCACAAAGGGAATGCTGGGATTGATTTTGGGGGTAATTGCCTCCAAATTGTAGGAATTAGGGGACAAAAAGGGGCAAAAAACAAGCATTTTTCTAGTTTCATGACAATAACTTGTGTGTAAGTGTATGGATCTCTCTGACATTGTATCACAAGGCTCCATATCACAAAGGGAATGCTGGGATTGATTTTGGGGGTAATTGCATCCAAATTTTAGGAATTAGGGGCCAAAAAGGGACAAAAAACAAGCATTTTTCTAGTTTCATGACAATAACTTGTGTGTAAGTGTATGGATCTTTATGATATTGTACTACAAGGTTCCATATCACAAAGGGAAAGCTGGAATTGTGTTTGGGGGTAATTGCCCAAAAAGTTTAGGAATAAGGGGCCAAAAAGGGGCCAAAAATAAGCATTTTTCTAGTTTCCAGACAATAACTTGTGTTCAAATGTATGGATCTCTCTGAAATTGTACTGCAAGGTACCATACCACAAAGGGAAGGCTGGGATTGATTTTGGGGGTAATTCCCTCAAAATTTTAGTAATAAGGGGCCATAAAAGGGCAAAAAAACAAGCATTTTTCTAGTTTCAGGACAATAAGTTGTGTGTAAGTGTATGGATCTTTATGAAATTGTACTGCAAGGTTCCATATCACAAAGGGGAAAGCTGGATTTGAGTTTGGGGGTAATTGCCTTAAACGTTTAGGAATTTGGGGCCAAAAAGGGGCCAAAAAACAATCATTTTTCTAGTTTCCAGACAATAACTTGTGTACAAGTGTATGGATCTCTCTGAAATTGTACTGCAAGGTACCATACCACAAAGGGAAAGCTGGGATTGAGTTTGGGGGTGATGAATTATAAGGGGGTTCAAAAAATTGGGGGGGGGGGGGGGATTTTTTTTCCCTTTTTTTCTTTAAAATTATCCATTTTAAATTGGTTATTTCTGATTTATATATAAAAGCAAATAATAATGATATGGTTTGAATAGGTAAATTAAAAAATTTTAAGTTCTTAGACCACTTTCATTCTGTGTGAGAAACCTATGCTGTGTCAAATATTTAATTACAATCCAAATTCAGTGCTGTATCAAGCTTGAATGTTGTGTCCATACTTGCCCCAACTGTTCAGGGTTCGACCTCTGAGGTCATATAAAGCTGCGCCCCAGCGGAGCATTTTATTTCCGTTTGAATTGTTTCACATTTTGTCATGTCAGACCTTTTATAGCTGAGTATACAGAATGGGTTTTGCCCATTGTTGAAGGCCGTACCATAACCTATAGTTGCTTAAATTCTCTTCATTTGGACTCTGGTGGATAATTATCTCATTGGCAATAATAACACATCTTATTTTTATATAAGAATTATTAAGTTAGTTGCTCTGTGTAAAGTAAATATTTTTTTCTGTCTAGTGCAAAATAAATTGATAAATTTTTTGAATCATTGTAGGAAAGGGAACAATTACAGAGAATGCAGGCTCAGAGGGATGCTGAGGAGGCAGCCTTGAGGGCAGAGGCTAGGAGACGTGAGGAGGAATACAGACGAGAAGAAATGGAACGACAGAGGGAGAAAGAACGACAGGAACAAAGAGAAATAAGAGTTAATGAAGAAAGAAAAAGACTTGAAAATATGTCAAATAATAGTCACACAGGTTATCAACCTTACGCAAACTTGCCAGCTCAGTCACAGTTTGAAAAAGGAGCCCCTCCTCCTCCACAGAGAGGAACATCATCGTATGAAATGGCTAATCAGTCATTCGGAAATCGTTCTAACATTCAGACCAGTGTTCCAACTAATAATGTAAATAATTATCGTGGAATGTCTACGTCACGTTCTCATCCTGGTCCAGAAATTAGTGCTCCACCTGGAATGATACCTAAAAAATCAGTTTCATTTAACACACAACCAGACACTCATTTGTATACCCCTCATGGTTCTCAGTCGTCATACAGAACATCGTCAGTTTCATCAGACACGAACAATGTTAGTTTCGAACAAAATATGCCATTACAGAGTCAAAATGATTCTGTGTTTAACAATTCACCACAACAAAATCATGTGGAAGCTAAATATAGAACATCAGAAAATACCCCTGGCGTTATTGGTTCACAGGAAATATACAGAGATCCTAGAAACCGAATAGCAGCTCAGAAAGAGGCTAACAGTAAAAAGGGGCCTGGGGCTGAACGAATGTCATTTAGAGATAAAATGAAATATTTCGCTGCAGAAGCAGGAGAAAATACTCCAAAAGAAAAACCCAAAGCTTCACGGACATTGAGAAATATAGAATCTCAGCTACATAATGGACAGTGAACAAATCTACAGAGGACATTTTATTTTTATAAAGGCATTTTATTGGATTTTTTAAGTTGTCAGAATATTTCTTTTTAGTATATTTCCAGTATGTAAATAATTAAATACAAGAATATAGACACATCATATTGCACACTAGGACTTTTTCATGTACTTCAATTAAAGGTGTTACTAAAAAGAAATAGTTCTGATGTTATTTCTCTAGAAAAAGTTTCGTGCTTTCATATAATACTTGGATGAAGAAAATTGGCAGAACAAATTTTTCTTTGAATTTTTCTAGAGAAATTAATGTTTGGTTATATATATATATCATGTGATTTGTAAAGTGAACGATATTATTTGTCAACTTTTATATTACACTGTTATAGATTGTGATGCTTTTACTTTGCAAATTTATTTCACTTTATAAAGATTGGGTTGTTAATTATTTTAATATGAAATAGCATTTTCTTTTTTTGAATGAGAATGGTTGTATGAATGAAGGTTGTCACTGCTGGAATATTTTTTTTTATTATTTACTGAAGTCAAGTCATGTTAATCATGAATATAATTATTTTTTAATATGCATACATTTATACAAAATAATACAAAAAGCATTAACTCTTACACAGAGATTATTATACAGGAAATTTTCACTTTGTTTTACATTGTCTGTATGCTATTAAAAACAGTATTACAAAAGAAATTTGAAACACCTTGAGTAGATTACTAGAATATCCTATTATTAACAATATTTGAAAATAATATCTTTATATAAAGGGAAGGCTATAAAAGGAAGTAAAGATTAATGAAATAATTATACCAAATTTATGTATAACTCTTTTATTTTTAGTCCTTATGTGGTATGTTAACTTCACAGTTAAGACTTTTTTTACCCTGTAATATGCATTTTTAAGAGTGCCTTTTTTCAGCTGAAATTCAGTTTATAAGGTACATATAATGCATTTTATTTATCAAACAGAAGTTTGATTTGTTGAATGTTATAAGTATCAGAATAAATGTGTACAAAAGGTAGAAATGTCTGAAAATGTATTTGTTGAAAGTGAAATTGAATGGGTTGTTATTTTATATATTGTTTTTTCTTTTAAAGGTGTATATAAAATTTCCATATGTATATATGTAAATAAGAAACAAATTTTAAAAAGCAACATATATATTATATATTCCACATACATTACATTTCCATCGTTTACATTCTATAAATCTATATATATGTAATAATAGTACTAAATTTATGCACAAATATTAAGCTTTTTGTATTTTATTTCCTCCTGTGAAGGAGCACCATTTAAGAAATTATGGATGTGAGATCAGGATAGATAGGTTGTAAATCGATGTTAAATAAATAGGTGTTTCTTAATGATATGTATTACATAACTGTCCATTTTGAATTAGATTTCTTGTATTTTCCCCCTTTCTCTCTTAATTAGAAAATTGTAAGCATTTTACTACAAATAACAATTTTCTATCTCAAATCTCTAATTGATAGAAAAACCAATGTCAACACACTATATTAATTTATGCATCATTATTAAAAGAATTATTTGAATAAATTAAAATTCAAGCAAACTTGAAATATGTGTTTAGGGTTTTTTGCAGGAGGGATATGAAATATTTTGTATGATTATCTCCTTCATGGAACACGGAAGTTGTATTTTATTTATTGTTTTGGTATCTTAATTTGTTTTACCCTGTGTAATCTGGAACACCTGACCATTGTAAATCAAGGTGTCCACACTATACAGGTAGTATATATTGTGACATAATTTCATATTAACCAAGTTGTTTAACAACTGCATATATCATATCATGTGCTAGGTTGGTGAAGTATAGGTTTATTTATGCAGTGCTAGGATACCATGTAGAAATTTGGTTTACACAGTAGAATTTTATTATTTTTGATATTTCCATTTAGAAAGTTTATTACTACAAATTGGGATAAGAAACTATTTTTATAGCTCAAATGAAAATAAAATTTTCAAATACATGTAAAAGGTCAGATTAAGTGTGATCAAATTCTATATTATCATTTTTAGATTAATTCAGTATTACAAAGATTTGTTCACATTTCAAACTAATGTAGATTTATAAACAATATGATATGGTTTAAGTTATTTCTAATATACAGAAAAAATACACCTTAATATATACTTGGGGAGGACTGTAGTTGTGTACCACATTTCCTTGAGATTATATTTATATTTTGGAGTGTTCTTTAAAAAATAAACTGGAAGATATTCAAGAATTGTATTTTGAATATAAGGAATTCATGTTATAGTTTCCAATCTTATTTGCACTATTTTTCCCAGAAAAGTGTAAAATCCTTTTTCTTCAAGCTTGTTTGCATTTGATGGGACAATGTTTAAAATGAAATTATTCTGTGGACATTCAGAAAACAACATAGCCATGAGAAAAATTTGATTTCTTGAATCATAACAATGTCTTTTGAAAGAACCATATTTAATATATTTATTCGAAATTTCTAACACAACTAAATAGTCCAAACGAATAAATACTTTTGATTCAATGGATAACAGACTATAATTTAAAAAAAAGTTGGATATATATAAAAGATATAGTAATAACTTTATAGACACGGAAGTGATAATCAGTTTTACTTATGAATATATATAACATAAAATTGAGAATGGAAATGGGGAATGTGTCAAAGAGACAACAACCCAACCAAAGAGGAGAAAACAGACCAAGGCCACCAATGAGTCTTCAACACAGCGAGAAAATCCCACAATTTATATTAAAACATTCACCCACAGAAGTATTCTTTGCTTTCAAGTCATTGAAATTTTTATTTTCTATCGCTGCATAAAATGTTAAGTGAAATAAAGAAGTATTTACATAAAACATATTAACTTCTCTATTATAAACACAGAAAATCAGTTTAATATTTTATTTGTAGGAATAGGACAAATCTAAAATAAAACTGCATATAAATGAAAAATTGAAAAGAATTAAAAACACAAAGATTTAATTTGAACTATTCATTTAATCCCTTCAGTCTTAGATAGTGTCATTATATAAAACTGACCAACTACATTGCATTTTATGTAAACATTCAACTTCTGGCTTGCCAAAATTATTTCAGATTTCAGTAGGTATTTCTTTTAAGTTGTTAAGATTGAAAAAGATGGGATATTTGATTCATCTCAAATTGGCATCAGTTCCACGATATGATTATTATCACATAATTAACTCCAAACTTTATTTCTGTAATTTGATTAATTCTCCACATATCTGACCACAAGTTTCAGTTCCACAATGTGATTATTTAACTCGCAACATATCTGACCACAAGTTTCAGTTCCACAATGTGATATCTGACCACAAGTTTCAGTTCCACAATGTGATTAATTAATTTGCAACATATCTGACCACAAGTTACAGTTTGACGATGTGATTATTTGACCACATATCATTATAGTACATGGTTGTGACACTCATTCATTGGTTGTGAACTTTGTACATGAAACAAACATGTTATTGATACTAGCAGTAATACTAAATAAAAATATAATATATCAAATCTTCTTTATGTATGTTTTGAAATATAAGTGCCAAGAAAATTATACCAGCACTCTAAAAGTGAGAGCTATAATGTGATCACCTTGTCCATCTGTCCCTCCGTCCAGCTGTCCAACTGTTTGTCCAACAAATATTTTTAAAAATTTTCTAAAAATGGTGAACAGAACAAATTGATAGTTGTCAGCAGCTTAACAGTGATGAGTTTGGGATACTTAATTACAAGTTGTGGTATGCTTAGCACAACAACATGTGCATTCTTGTTTCGATTGGTTCTAAATATAAAATAACAAAACCACCGAACTCCAAGGATAATTCAAAATGGAAAGTCCCTTATCAAATGGAAAAATCAAAAGCTCAAACACATCAAATGAATGGAAAACAACTGTCATATTCCTGACTTGGTACAGGCATGTCCTTATGTAGAAAATTGAGGACTAAGTGCAGACTTAGTTATGGTTTCGAATTTGTTTCGGTTTATTGTTCCAGAGTTGGGCCTTTTCCTTCTTGATATTTAACATTGCCATTACTGAAAATGTTTATTGTTGAGATGTGCAAGTCAAAACAAAAATAAATGGAGAATGTGTCCATAGGACACAGATGATTCCCCGTTTGCATATAACATTATAAAGGGACATAACTCAAGAAGGGTAAAAGTGATGCCACCCAAATTTGAATTTGATCTGAGTTTTGTGGTAATAAGCATTGTGTACTTGTTGGAATTGAATACCCAGTTGGATATATGGCCAGCTGAAGTCCCTTTCAATTATGTGTTCAAAACTCCAGGGTCAAGGTCACATGTACAAAAAATAGACCCTATCAGTTCGGAGATGGTGTTTCCATATAACAACATATGAATCTTTCTCGGATTAGAACAAAACTTATATATGTGGTCGCATATTTAATTAGAAAACACCATATTGATCATGCTCAACTTAAATTTTGCATTGGAATATAATTTGGATATATATGGTAAGAAAAAGAATAGTAATTTTGAAATAAATGCATTCACTAGGAAGATCAAAATTTCTGAAATAAGTGTAGAAAAAGGTTTCAATATAATTACCAAGAATCTTACCTCAGCTTGAAACCAAACTGAGTTAAATAATAATTTATTTGAGAGAAATTCAATATTAATTTGAGGTGAACTCTAATGTAAAGGTTGCATACCTTGAATTTATTACATTAATTGACTTTTTGAAAGGTAACCAGAGATTCTTATTTGGAGTTGGAACCAAACTTTAATAGATGCATTGTCACGTATATAGTTTTTAAGTTCAAACCTTTAAAGGCAAAGATCATAATTCACAACAATATGAATCTTTTCACAATTGTGATTTACAGACGATGCAGACAACAGTATCAAAATTGGAGATCTTACTGACACGAATTGTTAGAGTTGGACTTGTAATGAGATGGAAATATACCGAAAACCTTTATCCTCAATTTAAACACAACCTAAAGCAATCGTTAAAAAAGACTATATTCATGTTGGTAGATTATTCCAATCCCTGATGGTCCTTGGACAGATTGGTCGTAGGCATCTGTACTGATTCTTCTTGGTAGAAGCAGTCTTTACCTCTGGTCCGGTTATCGTTTGGGGTCAGATATTGTTGAAGATCTATGTTGACTAGATCATGCTGAATCTTGAACAGCATGCATACTCTGTCTGCTTTCCTCGGTTCTTCTAGCCTTTCCCATTTTAATATTTTAACCGTATTTGTGACACAGCCAGAATTTCGGGCTGTGTAGTTGTTATGCACAAATTTCGCTGCTCTTTCTGTACCTGCTCAATTGCCCGGAACTTTTTTTGGGGGTTTGTTGGATCCCATATTGTGCATGCATATTCCACTGCAGGTCTTACCAAGTGTACATATGCAGCCGCCATTACAGGTTTTGTACAGCCTTTGAGATTTCTGCGGATAAATCCTTATGTTCTATTTCCTTTGCCAACGGTATTTTCGATGCGTCTTTCCCAGTTGATGTGGTTGCTGTTTGTTACTCCTAGGTATTTGTTGGCGTCCACTGTCTCTACTGTATGACCGTGGAGTTTGTAAGTTGTTGGTATCACTGGTCGATTTTTTCTGTTATATTCTTATAACAAGGATTTTTTTGACGTTGAAGCTCATTTGCCATTTGTTTTCCCAATCTTATAACGATTTTAATCTTTCTAAAGAAGGTCACTTTCTGCTTGGTTGGTGATGGTTCGAAAGATAAGCCTGTCATCGGCAAATAATTTTGTCTCTGATGTAGTTTTTGTCATGTCAATGATGTAGGCCATCATCGGAACAGTAACGGTCCTAGAACTGTGCCTTGGGGTACACCAGAGAGTACTGGTACTTGCGAGGAGACTTCTCCCTCTTATATAACGCTCTGCCTATTTATACTGATGTAGAAAGGAGCGAATCCATTTGTTGATATGATATCCACTTGACAGTTTCTTTTTAATTTTGATGCAATGTCGTGGGTGGTACTATTCGCAAGATAGTATTTTGCGGAATCCGTGATGTGCATTACTAAGAATTTATTTCCGTCGAGGTGGTCCTTTATGTTGCTGTGTATAATTTCTTCTAATACCTTGCATGTGATGGATGTAAGAGATACTGGTCTGCATAGATGCTAAGTGCCTTTCGTCTTTTTTAAAAGTGGAACTACCTGTGCAACTCTCCAATCTTGTGGGACGTCGCCAGTGTTCAGTGATATTTGATACACTTTCAGGTCTAAGAATGGGAGCAACATAAAAAAGAAGAGATGAATTATGATTGCTAATGAGACAACTATTCACCAAAGTTCAAATAAAGTGGATGTAAGCAATTATAGGCAACCGTACAACCTTCAACAATGAGAAAAACCCATACCGTATGGTCGGCTATAAAAGGCCCCAACATTGAAAAATGTAAAACAATTCAGTTGAGAAAACTAACGGTCTATTTTTTAACAAAAAAATTACGAAAAACAAACAGGACAGACATGAACCAACGACAGCCACTGAACTACAGGCTCCTGACTTGGCACAGGCAAATAAATAATGTGACGGGGCAGGGGCGGATCCAGCCATTTATAAAAGGTGGGGGGGGGTGTGTTCCAACCCCCGGAACCCCCCCCCCTTCCTGGATCCGCCACTGCGGGGTTAAACATGTTTGATGACACCAACCATCCCCTAACCTGGGACAGTGATGTAACAGTATACAACATAAGAACAAATTATAAAAATCAGTTGAAAAGGGCTTAATTCATCAGATCGATACAGAGATGGTCTGCTACCTCTTTTCAATGTAAAAGATGGTATTGAATCCGGACCAGTGGCCTCATGTTGTTTAAGATTTTTTAAACAATTTGTGGACTTTATTAGTGCTAATTGTAACATCCTTCATACTGGAATATGGACTTCTCCCTTTATTTGGGAAGTTATTGAGGTTTTCTTCGGTAAATACTGAAACTGATCATTTAGAATTTCAGTTTTGCTCTTGTTGTCACTTTGAAGAAACCCCATTTAATTTTTAACGGTACAACTCCCGCCAATTCTTGGCCTTTGCTCTTGATGTATGACCAGCATTCTTTTGTGTTGTCTTTATAATCAGAGCTGACTTCTTCCATGTATTTTTTATTCGCTTGCCAGATGTCCCATTCTACATCTTGTTGTAGGTTCTTTTTTACCTATCCATATTATTTTTTTTTTAGTTTTTCCTGGCTCCCTATGTGCTTTTTGTTTCTTGTTTATTTTCCGTCTGATAACTGTATTAATCTATGGATGGGTGTGTCTTTCTTGAGTCCTTTTAGATGGTATTATCTTCTCTTTGTTGATTTGTATGGCCGTTTTTAATGCCTGCCACACAGACTCAACATTTGTATCTCTGATGTTTTTTTGAATGTTGTTATAAAAGTTTGAAGATCTACATGGCATATCTAACAGGACAATGTAATGGTCGCTATTCTCTATTGATGGTAAAGATTCTCATTTTAATTTTGATGATGGATGGGAAGTCCACAATGTGTTCTAGCCCGTTGTCAGCTACGATCTCAAGGAAAGCCTGGTTGATCCTGGTCTGATTTCATTCATGTTCGTTTCGGAAATACAGTATACATTTAGTTATATGACTGGTTTTCCCTGGTTCATTAGCTATGTCGATCATCTTATCGTGTTCATAATCCTCTGGATACAGCATATCTATTCTTAATAAGTAGATGGCATATTTCCAAAAATTTCTTCTGATTTTCTAAATATATCAATGACCTTGTCAAATTAAACTCTTACTAAATTGTGATCGTGGTCATTTTCATTCTGATCGTTCAACTAATGAGAATAATCTTGATACCAAAATTAACGAGAAATGAAACGTGTTTTTCTTTATTTGATTTTCCTTTCGATCATAACAGTTATATTTCATAGTCTCTGACTTGTAGATATTATGTTTCCCACTTAAGTTGTTATTAAAGCATTACAACTGTAGAAAAATAAGAAAATAAATAACACAAATTGAACAAATCATTTACTTATTTTGTCACAAATATAGGGTTTATTATGGAGGTATAATTCTGCTTACACCGAGATGTTGTTAAATGAAATTGAATACCCTGCATTTATCCTGCTTATCAATAACATATGGTCAAATGGCTGAAAGACCCCCTCCTAAATTGTCGAAAACTATCATTCTGCATTGACAATAATATCTTGGTGTAAACTAGATACACCCATTCGGGCTAACGCCCTCATAGATGTATATAATACTAACAGTAGTTATAGAAATATGAAATGTTCTAGATAATGCAACATCCTACACTGCGCCAGTAACATCAGGTGTTTCACAGGGGACTGTCATACACAAGAATCAGGGACAGCTCAGCGGGGGTAGCGTTATCAGTGACCAACAACGGAGCACTTTTGGACTGATAAAATTTAACATTGTTGTATATGGAAAAAACATGACAGTTGCTTTAAAATGATTTGTCAACATTTTATTTGTACAATCATAAACTATTGCCATGGCAGGTGAAAAAGTTATT